ACGGAAATACAAAAAGAAAAACAATCTGGGTTATTTAGATTTAATGATGTTTACCTAGTGACGTTGTGAGGTGTGTTGTATTTGTACTGTTTCATCATGTATATTATTAGTAACATTAAGTTTCTTGAACATTCCAGAGTGGTCAATATGTTTGGTCATTTTTCTAGAACATTCTTGAACTTTGTTTATGTCTAGAACTTTCCAGGAATATCATGTATTTACAATTTCTAGAATATTCTAGATTTATATTACTGTATAAATACCCTGTCAATTCGATACTATACTTTGTCGTATAAGCACTATTGAGATATAACTGGGATATACATTTTCACTGGGACATTGTGTGCAGCAACGGACACTCTGATGTATGTATTTTTAGATTCTTGCTAAGTTTGTACTTTATGTTTCATATACTTATTATATATTACTGTAAATAAATTATTGTTAAGTTTAAATTGTGTGATTGATCTTTGCTGGCATTTAGGGTTATTCTGACCCATAACAGAATTGGGGGCTCGTCCGGGATAAAGAATTTCTTGCACTTTTGCAGTTTATTGTCAGAATTTTGTTAATTGAACCGTTAAATTTGATTATAAGCCAGCAGAAATCAACATGGTGTTTTCGGTCACAGACTTTCTTAGTTCACCAAGTGTTCAGGTTTTTGATACGTTAAAAAAGGATGACTTGATCGCATTAGGTTTGCATTTTGGGTTAGATGTTAAATCCTCTCAGAAAAGACATTAGAATTAAGGTTGCAAACAAACTAGTAGATGAAAACATCTTTGAAAAATACGATCTTCCAGAATATACAGTTAGATCAGAGTTAGGCTCTTATAAAATGGCAGACTATCAGTTTCAATTAGAGTTAGAGAAAATGCGATTAGAAAGAGAAAAATTAGAAAGAGAAGAGCGAGAAAAAGACAGAGAAAGAGAAAGAGAAGAACGAGAGCGTGAACGGAAATTTGAATTAGACAAATTAGAAAGACAAGAGCACTTTGAGTTAGAGAAATTAAGATTACAGCATAAACCAGAACCCTCATTTGTCAAGAATGAATTTGATGCAGCAAAAAATATTAGGTTAGTTCCGAAATTTCAAGAAAAATCTGTAGACAAGTATTTTTCCCAATTCGAAAAAGTCGCAGAAAATCTTAAATGGCCACAACACGTTTGGTCAACAATGTTACAAAGTGTACTGGTTGGCAAAGCAGCTGAGGTATACTCTGCACTAGGGGTAGCTGAAAGTTCAGACTATGAGAAGGTCAAAGCAGCAATATTAAAAGCATATGAATTAGTACCTGAAGCGTATAGATAAAAGTTCAGAAAGTATAGAAAGTTTGATAATCAAACATTTGTTGAATTTTCACGAGAGAAAGAAGATTTATTCGATCACTGGTTTAGATCTAAGAAACTTGATAAAACTTTTGCTAATTTGCGCCAAGTCATCCTGGTAGAAGAGTTTAAGGAATGTGTTACTCAAGATTTGAAAACACATCTAGAAGATAAGAATGTTAAAACTCTTGAAGAGGCAGCAGTCATATCTGATACTTATGCTCTGTCTCATAAAAAGAATTTTGTATCGAGATCTCAGACTAGCAGTAATTCTACCAATTCAGACACATATAAAAAGAGTGGTTCAGGGTCTCAGTCTTTCACAAGTTCCCAGTCTCCATCACAAGCTGGTTTTAAGTCCGGTCCAGGACGTGTTGAAGGATCGTCTGGACTAGGGTCGCTTCCTACTTGTAGTTATTGTAAGAAAAAGGGTCATCTCATCAGTGAATGCTTTAAACTTAAGAGAAAAAATGATTTTGATAAAACTCAACCACATGCTTGTGCGGCAGTTAGAGGTGATAGAGAAGCCTTAGTTTCAATTTGTTCTGACACTCCTGATGTCCAGGGTTCACAGTCCAGTGCTATTGATTCTATGGAGGATTATAAGCCCTTTATGTCTCAGGGATTTGTTTCACTCGGTGACTCTAGCGAAATAAAACCTGTCCAGATTTTGAGAGATACTGGTGCTGCACAGACGTTATTGTTAGAGGGTGTGCTTCCTTTGTCTGAGCAGACTTCTACTGGTGGGTCAGTTTTATTACAGGGTGTGGAGCTAGGCGTCATTGATGTTCCCCTGCATAGAATTAGTTTGAAGTCAGATTTAGTTACTGGACCTGTTATTGTAGGTGTTCGACCTACTCTTCCTGTTCCAGGCATTTCTTTGTTGCTAGGCAACGATTTAGCTGGTGGAAAGGTTGTACCTGATCCTATAGTTTGTGAGAAAATCACTTCCAATGTCATATGCGATGATGAAGATGATGACATTTATCCAGCCTGTGCTGTTACTAGAGCGATGGCCAGAAGACGAGAAATGGAGGCAGACCATACTCAAGCCTTTGACGAGACGAATTCCTCTGTTGATATTGATTTGAATGACACTTTCTTATCTGACCTTGATGGCACTCAAACAAGCATGGAACCACACAATATCAAGAAGCAAGAGAAGAAAGAACTTTTACCAAAATTTGGTGGTGAGGATGATGAGTTGCATCCAATAGTTAGCCAAGGCAAGGACATCCTCAGCCGAGAACGTTTACTCTCTGAACAACATAAAGACCCAGATGTCATTCAACTTAGTAAGAGGGCACTTCCACCAGAAGAGGCTACTAAAGTTGGAGAATGCTTCTATATGAAAGATGGCATCCTTATGCGAAAATGGCGACCACCTGACGCTTCTCCAGATGAAGTGTGGCGTGTTGTTCACCAGATAGTGGTCCCAGCTGCTTATCGTCGAGATGTCATGAGTTTAGCTCACGATACACCTATGGCTGGTCATTTAGGTATCAATAAGACTTATAACAGGATTTTGAGTCATTTTTATTGGCCTAAGCTAAGAAAGGATGTTTCGAAGTTTTGCAAGTCATGCCATGTCTGCCAGATGGTAGGTAAACCAAATCAGAAGATACCATCTGCTCCTCTCCAACCCATTCCAGTTTTTGAAGAACCGTTTAGTCGAGTGTTGGTGGATTGTGTAGGACCTTTGCCTAGCACTAGATCTGGAAACCAGTATTTACTTACCATTATGTGTACATCCACTCGATTTCCTGAAGCCATACCTCTTAGGAATATAAAGGCAAAGAGCATAATTAAGGCCCTAACCAAGTTTTTCAGTTTTGTAGGAGCACCCAAGGCAATTCAGTCGGATCAAGGCTCAAATTTTATGTCGGGGTTGTTCCAGCAAGTCATGCATTAGTTGGGTATAAGGCAATATAGATCAACTGCTTATCATCCTGAGTCCCAGGGAGCGCTAGAACGTTTTCATCAAACCCTAAAAACAATGCTGAAGACCTATTGTTACCAGTATGAGAAAGACTGGGATGAAGGGGTTCATCTTGTACTATTTGCTGCACGAGAAGCAGTCCAGGAGTCTCTTGGGTTCAGTCCTTTTGAATTGGTGTTCGGTCATACAGTTAGAGGTCCTTTGAAATTGTTGAAGGAAAAGTGGCTGACTGAGACTAGTGATCTTAATCTTTTAGATTATGTGTCTGATTTCAAAGAAAAACTTTACAATGCTTGTAAATTAGCACAAGAAAATTTGAAGAGTTCTCAGATGAAAATGAAAATGTGGTATGACAAAGATGCCAGAAATAGGGTGTTTAAGCCAGGTGATAAGGTTCTTGTATTTTTACCTATTCCTGGTCATCCTTTACAGGCCAAATTTTATGGCCCTTATGAAATTTAAAGCAAGATCAGTGATGTAAACTATGTGGTTAAGACACCAGGTCGACGTAAAGAGAAACGGGTTTGTCACATTAACATGTTAAAAGAGTATTTTGAAAGGTGTGACCGAAATTCTGTAAAACCATTTTCCACTTTAGCCAACGCTAAGACTGTTCAAAATTGTATTGAGAGTGATACGAGTGTAGAGATGAATGAGAAAGATTGTAATCAGAGTGTCCGCTTGAAAAACTCAGAAATTTTGGCTGATTTTGATGCCAAACTTAGACATTTGAACATTCACCAAAAAGAACAAGTTAAAAACTTGATGAATAAGTATCATCAAATCTTCTCGGATGTTCCAAAGAAAACTAATGCAGCTTGTCATGATGTTATAGTTGGCGACGCTCTGCCTATCAAACAACATCCGTACCGTCTCAATCCAATAAAATTGCAGTACCTAAGAAGGGAAGTGCAGTACATGTTGGACAATGACATTGTTGAACCTAGTAAAAGTGATTGGAGCTCACCGTGTATTCTTGTACCAAAACAGGACGGTTCGTACCGATTATGTACAGACTTTAGAAAGGTGAATTCTGTTACTAAAACTGATTCATATCCAATACCTAGAATTGATGACTGTATTGACAGCATTGGAAACGCCAAATTTGTCAGTAAATTTGACCTGTTGAAAGGCTACTGGCAAGTGCCGTTAACAGAAAGAGCAAAAGAAATATCTGCTTCTGTGTATTGTGAACATATATGATTTTGTATTAATGTACATATATTTCATTTTAACAATATAAGTTTTCATTGACATTCAAACTTTGTAAGGGGGGAGGTGTTGTGAGATGTGTATTGTTTCATCATGTATATTATTAGAAGCATTAAGTTTCTTGAACATTCCAGAGTGGTCAACATGTTCGGTCATTTTTTCTAGAACATTCTTGAACTTTGTTTATGTCTAGAACTTTCCAGGAACATCATGTATTTACAATTTCTAGAATATTCTAGATTTATATTACTGTATAAATACCCTGTCAATTCGATACTATACTTTGTCGTATAAGCACTATTGAGATATAACTGGGATATACATTTTCACTGGGACATTGTGTGCAGCAACGGACACTCTGAAGTATGTATTTTTAGATTCTTGCTAAGTTTGTACTTTATGTTTCATATACTTATTATATATTACTGTAAATAAATTATTGTTAAGTTTAAATTGTGTGATTGATCTTTGCTGGCATTTACGGTTATTCTGACCCATAACAAGATTTAATGATGTTTACCTAGTGACGTCTGACCATCATGGTGGTTCCCTTCACTGATTTCCCACTCCTTACTGTGGGATCCCATGGCCAGTGCCAGGACTCCGAGGACCACACACCGTTAAGGAAGGCGCGGTGACAGGAATTAAACCACCAGCCCCCTCTACGGCTACTAGCAGCAGCACAGTTATTATCACTATGTCTGTCGTTATCCCTGTCTGGGGTGGAAAATGACATCCCAGACAGATCATGGTAAGGATAACCTGTGTCTATCATACTGTCTCCTATTGATGTACAGGAAATATATCATAGAGGTAATGGATTCATATATATATTCAATCTAGTCGATAATAATACTGAGGTACATTAAGACAGGTGGCTTTGCATGCTATAAGGAGAGAAAGTATCTATTTTAAGTTATCCACGCTATATCTTGCCTCAGTTGAAATACAGCTGGAAATTTATATATTTTGTTTACTAATAAAAGTTACGACAATAATGTTAATTACATTATTAAAACTGAAACTGAATTGGAAATGTTTTGGCTATATGATAAAGGAGTTATTGAACTTATGTTGATGAATATTGGCAAGCTTGTGCATTTGAACAGCCAACTCGTGCCAATATTCACCTATATAAGTTCAATAACTCTATAATATTAAACTTTCATTAATAATTGCTGTCTATGATTTCCCGCGAACATGCTTGTTTACATGTATATACTGTTTACACACGTCAGCAATCATTATTCATGAAAAGGCCTTATTCTTATTGTTGTGATATGTGTATTCTTTCATTATGTATATAATTAGTAACATTAAGTCTTTTTTTAACATTCCAGAGTGGTCAACATGTTCGGTCATTTGATCTAGAACATTCTTAAATTTTGTGTATGTCCAGATTGTTCCAGTAATATCATGTTTTAACAATTTCTAGAATATTCTAGATTTATATTACTGTATAAATACCCTGTCAATTCGATGCATAGATATGCTTTGTCGTATAAGCACTATTGAGATATAACTGGGATATATATTTTCACTGGGATATTGTGTGCATCAACGGACACTCTGATGTATGTATTTTTAGATTCTTGCTAAGTTTGTACTTTATGTTTCATATACTTATCATATATTACTGTAAATAAATTATTGTTAAGTTTAAATTGTGTTATTGATCTTTGCTGGCATTTAGGGTTATTCTGACCCATAACATTATTCAGATATTAATCAATTGTTGTTTTTAATACGACTTCTTTTGTAAAATGAGGAAAGTATTATCTTTGGGTTTGAAAAATAATGCATTTCACACGTTAAAAGTCACAGTCAGGCAAATTTGAAATATGAATAAGTCACAAATGTAAATATGAGTAATAGGATATAATTTTAAAACATCTATCGGGATATAAATACGGGTTGGACACGAGATAAAATTCCATAAAGCCCGAAGGACTTTATGATGAATTAAAATGAAAATGATACCTTATTTCTTAAATACGTAAGTTTTATCCAGTTTAAAGAAGTTTAATTGAATACACTTACCTAAGGTCCCCGTGGCAGGTCCTGTTAGAAAGAGTTGATATTTTCCTGCTTCATTGGAGACCGAGAATCCGTCGTACATTTCATAAAGAGTTGTACCATTCTGGAGAGTGATGGACACATAAAGGGACGATGAGTTTTCTTTGGTTAATTGATGGAGTACGTCATGTCCTGTATTAAGATATATTGAAATCAATAAATTATTCTACTCTGCAATCTCACCAACAGAAGAATAACGTAAGTAAAATATAAAAAAACATTATTGAGAAAATTATTTGAAAAGAAATAACCCCGTGGGGATCCGGGTTAGAATAAAACCTCAGTACCCCCTTGCTTGTCGTAAAAGGCGACTAAATGGGGCGGTCCTTCGGATGAGACCGTATAAACTGAGGCCCCGTGACAAAACAGGTGTGGCACGATAAAGATCCCTCCCTGCTCAAAGGCCGTAAATGCTGAGCATAGGCCCAAATATGCAGCCCTTCACCGGCAATGGTGACGTCTTCATATCAGTGAAATATTCTGGAGAGGGACGTTAAACAGTATACAATCAATCAATCAATGAAAAGAAATATATCAAATACAACATTCATTTTGAATATTTAAAACAGAATAGAGTTAGTTAAAAAATACTTCTTGCTTTCTTTATCTCTAGAATGTTTTTCTTACTCTTAATGTTCTTAAAATCATTTTTAATTAACATGAATTAAATCAGCTTTAGAAAATTTCTTGCGGTTTTTTAAAGAAAATATAGGTGAATAGAAGTGAATTAAGTCACTATTTATATATCCCTGTTTAATATATCAAATTCGTATCTTAGATGTTTCAAAAATTGGTGTAAAACAAAATTTTATTTAGGAAATCAACAACACACAGTCAGAAGAAATCACCGGTGCATTTCAATACTGTAAAACGAGAATAATTAGCGCACTACTAATTTTAGCGCCTTTTGCGCAAGAGCCCTTGAACGCTAAAATTGATTGTGCGCCAAAGGATTTCTAAATATCATTTTTGTGTGTGTTCAAAGTTTTTACAGAAATTCATGTTAACCGGAACGGGCGATTACGTAATGTCGAAGGGTCATTGGATTTTATATACACACTAGCACTGCACATGTCCAGAAGACAGAAGGTTCTGCCAAATTATAATTTAATTAAACTATTGTTACCCCGGGAGTTGTTACCCGATTATTATCATTAGCACCTTCAAAGTTTGGCTTCTCGGCGTGTCAATCATCTATCGCCTCGAGGTAAACATTGCAATGAAGCATGGCGATTGAACTTGCAGGCAATACCTGATTAGGATTACCGTTTTATCTAAGTAATTTTCTGTCGATGCATGCATTGTTTTAATATGATTTAAGTCAGTAAATACTCTATTTCGTTTAATTGAAAATAGAAATAAAATAAATTCTTTTAACATTGTACCACGTCCATGTGATAGCAACAAGTACCGCGGAAAAGGTAAAGAATGTTTACTGATATACGTGATAACTAATGTGTTTCCGTGGTTGACTAACCAAAGAGTCAAATACGGGTGCGGATTAAAAAAAATGTCACATTTAAATGTTTTACTGACAAGTGCAAGCGCTATAACTTATTTGCGCCAATGCATTCCAACTTGCGTTTGCGCTTATATGTATGCCCCAAATTTCTCGTTTTACATTACGTGTTATCTAGTTTTAAATCCTAACCCTTCAGTAGCAACTATTTTTAAAGTATTTTTTTAAGTGTTTGTCCTAATTTTGAACGGAACCAAAGATCATTTGTACCAATCCAGACTTCCGCTTCCGATGAACCAAATCCATTTTTATAATCTATCCAGTTCCTATCAAAGGTCACGGATCCATCCATCCGTTTTTGAATTCCCTTGAAAAGATAAACAACAGTTGAATTATTTTGAAAATTAAGACATATTTTCATTAGAGCTTTAAAGGGGAAACGGCTTCTGATTTCTTTCCTATCCCCTTAGTAAGAAATAAATTAAATTATCATATATTCCTACCCTGAAGATCATCAAATATAAATTCAATTAAATTTACTTCAATTGCCAAATTAACAAACTAAATCTCAATCAAATTTCAGAGTATAATATATAGATATGCTCTTTCTCTCTCTCTGAATAAGAAATCCAATCAAATTTATTTTACAGGTTGAAACTAAAGTCCCAAACCCAGATTATTAAGTCAAATTTCAAACAAAGTACTGGTTGATACAAAATAGCCATCTCCACTGGAATATCAAAACTTAATCATATTACAGTGTACTGTATACACCATTTATAAAGCTGTATAAATAAACAATATACCGTCCATCCTCCTCCTAGTGTAGTCATGTCACAGAACTTATTATAATAGAATAAAAATAAACAACACACCGTCCATCCCCCTCCCATTGTAGACATGTCACAAAACACCTTGACTGGAATAGAGCTGATTCCATAAGGGTAGACGTCGTACACCCCTGTATATGTGTAGTCGTTATCAAGGAGTTCCTTACAATCTCTAGGGAGAACTAAAACCAAAAAAAAAATCAAAGAAATTATATTACCCTGGTATATTACAAGAAAGAGGCTCACAAACATTTTCAGAAATAACAAGATACCAATGACAAAAAAAATATGTTTTTCCAATCTTAGTCGGAAATTAATTGATTGTAACTGATAAAATAAATATGATGAAATATTTACTCATGATAGTGCAAGTGCAAACATTTTTTAAATTCAAAATGAATGCGTTATTATGTTGTATTGATTTGTCTTATCTATTTTAATTCAAATATTTTCATCAACAAATACAATCAATTTTTATGGGTAATATTTAAATGACTACGGTATATTTATTATTTGAAGAAAAAAAATTCTCCATCAAGAAAGCATCCTTTAAAAAAATGAAAACAAAAATATTGTTCAATCTTAAACAATATTTTCTAAAAAAAAAAAAAAGTGTAATATTTGAAATGTTTTGCTGAGGAGTACTACAACTAAAGGTACTGTGAGCATCGAGATCACTAAATGATATCCCCCCCCCATTTGATTTTAATGGTGAAGTCAATGTTTTGCTCTTGGAGACACGACAAAGTGTCAAATTCAGGAAGTAAAATAGGTATTGCAAAATGGCATTTTGTAATAAAGAATCTGTGATGACATCATTATATTTATCCTGTGGTATAGGAGGAGTTTTATATATAAGAGAAAAGTATCCTTCAATATCGAGAATGGCAGTGCCAATGTTTTCTATAGTAAACCCGAAATATATGTCCGATCAAAAAGTAAATAGAGATGTGCACAATGTCACTATAAAACAAAGATTCTGTAAAAGTTTCATTAAATTTCATTCAGTGATATAAAAGTAGTTGATGATAAAAAATGGATATTCGAGATAGAATTGACACAGACGGACGGACAGCTAGACCGACGGAGGGACATCCCGATCATACCCTCCGCTTTTCAAGCGGTGGTAAAATAATAATTAACTGTTTTAAGATTCTTTAACTGTCCATGATTACTTAAACTTTACCATATATACTGCCTAACAACCTATTGAATGGTCGTCAGTGTTTTTTTTCCTGACATGAGCATTAAATGTCAGTCAATGTTTTTTTCTGACACTATCATTGAATTCACAGAAGCAAAAGAGGGTTACAATTATAAGCATACACAAGCTTTGCAAGGTTTAATCACTGTTTTGGATATTCCGCTCCCTTATAAATTGAAAACACTTTGTCAATTTTAAGATTTTATCCTTTAGTTCTGGAATTCATCCAAATGAGAAAAAGAAAATAACCAAACAAAAACTGGATTAACATTTACAAAGTAATACGTGTACTATAGTGTTTCTTCCGTTAATAATTCCAATAAATGATAATTTTACGAGAAAATGAGAAAATTTTAAATTTTTACCGAGAAACATAAACAAAATCACCGTTTATGAATTGCCTAGTTTAAATTATTAAACAAAAATATTTTTTTAAAAGATTTGAAGAAAATCGCATGTGCACTGGGAGAAATCTTGAAATTTATAATTTTCTTTCACATCAAAGACTCCCTTGGGATTTTCAACTTTATGATTTAACATATATTTTATTAATAGCTCATAGTTCAAAATAATATTTTACTCATGTCAGCAAAAAGCAAATCTATATATAAAACAAAATCAATTTAACCCCAAAAAACAAATATCATTTTCAAGCAGAGTAATAAGAATTCAAATTTGAATTAATAGGGGTAATGCTTTAATCTGAGACATGAAAGAATATTACAGTAGATTGATTTTTTTTAATTTGATCAGGAAATATTTTCTTAAAAAAAAAGTTCCATCTATACAGTTATACAATTTTTTGCACTTTCAGGGATTTACAAAAGCCATTATTTACAATTTTAAAAGGTCCCTCCGTTATTTCGTTGATGTAAAAGTGTGCGATCGCCAGGATTGCTCACTCTTCTATTGCACCTGATCCCACTTTTGATTTAGAGGTTATTATTTGATCTGCTTTTGAGCTGTATTGTTTGAATGGAGTGAGTATGAATTGTTTTCCCCATATTTTTCATTTTCTAAAACAATATATATAAAAAGAAATACCTACAATAACGTATCCGTTTTCTATAAAAGGTAATACATACAATCATGAAAAAAGTATCTCCAGCCCTCCTCATCTGATGTTGACGACTTGTGGAGTTTCCTGTGGAGCCGACATTTCTTCAATCCTTCATTATACCCAAATACCCACAATCCCCCCGACATTTCTCAGCACAGTCTTTAAACGCTATAGAATACTCTCCTAGAAGTTCGTGTTCTGACTTTTTATCATCAAAGTCCACGCTTCTGACGAATCTCCAGGAAAACATGGCAGCGAGAGGCACCGTAAAGTAGGCGGCGATTAAAAAGACAGCCAAGAGATTGCTCATGTTGTTCTTTGTGTATTGCACCAGTTGTACGGTTTCTGTAAAGAAACTGCGAGCAAATCTTTCAGCTAGCGGGTACAAATATCAAAGCCTCAATGTATTGCGTACCAGTGATTGTCTGATTGTTAGATAATTTACTATCTATGATAGATCGATTTGAGAACAAGAATGACTGAATCTTTAATTGGTCTAAAGATGAAAATAATGGATTTGATCATATTTTAAATAATATCCGTTGAATATCATCATAATGCTCGTCTTTCTGTACGTCCGACTGTTAAGATTTGGGGAACCCATCTCTAATTCATAACAACTTTTATAACACTAAATGAAATGTAATGAAATTTCACAGAAGCTTGAAACATAGTGCCGTTGTACACATCCAATTTATAGATCGTATACATACAAGGATTGATTCAGAAGGTTGGAAATTTTTATATATATTTATCTATATCAAGTTTTGAAAATAACAAAAATTTTTAGTTTATGTTACGTAATTAATTGTAAAAGTGAAGAAAATACATTAAGTGGTATACAATATTATAAAAATTATGAACTCACATAAAACTCTGTAGGACTAAATGTAGTTTTACTGGTTATAATTTAGCTTTTAATGGAAAATTTCTTGATTTGTTGTTAATGGTGACATTGTAAGACACTGTGAAAATTCGATCAAGTTAAAAGTTTTTCAAACATAGCGGGAATACCCGTTACTACAACACTGATTTAAAAAACAGTATAATACTGATACCGACTGAAAAAAATGATGTAAGCAATCGGCTTTCCATTGGCGCGAGAATTTATGTAAAAAAGAACCTCCATGAAGGTTGATTAAAAGTGTCACCATCTTTTGGAACGTCATTTTTCCCAGTACACAAATTAACCGTTAATGGACGACAACCACCAGGGTACATGTACTTTGTTTAACATTTTTCTATAATTTAATTCTGGTTGCGAAGCTGTATTTGATTTGATTAAAAAATACTTTATATCTTATAAACTGGGTTTTTTGATTTGTTGTTAATGACCTCCGTCAAAAATGTATTATTCCCCTGACGATACATTCAAATTTTGTACAAATTGAAGTCATTTTTGTTCGAACAATCATCTTTTTTTCTAACAAAAATGAATGAAAAACTAAAAAATGATGGTAGCAATGAATTTCCATAGCTACCCATTTTATACGAAATAAACTGAAGGTTGCTGAAAAGTTTTTGCGGTTTATAAAGAGTTCATTTTTCCAACCCAGTTTATACCGTATAAAATGGGTAGCTACATGTACATTGTAAACATTCCTCTGTAAACGAAACATTCCATGGAAAGACGGTGAGCATTTTGAAAAATCATTATAATATGAAAATTAGGAGGTGCTAGCGAAGACTTATGTTATTCCTCGGAATAGAAATGAAATGAAAGAGCAGTTATCTGCAGATTGTGAGGACGAAATGCTCCTTTAACGTGATGTCACATACCTAAGTTGACGTTACTTGGAAATCTCCCCCGGATTATACAATTGTCCAGAAATCCCTTATGACTATTAGGGTAATTAGAAAGTAGTGAAAATCTCCAGTCATGTTGCATATCGGCTCTATCAAATAAATATGTCTGGATCTAATGTTTGCTTTTCTCATAGTCACGATAAAATTTTTGAAAGAAAATCCAAGAAATTTTGGATAGACCCTCGTATTATGGGTTTCCCATAACAAAACATAAATACTGTAATTTGGCAAAAATATTTACATTCTATTCTATTTTGCATATACAAAACAACATAACACGGACAGGGGGTCAAATGTTTCAAAAATACGTTTAGCTTTGACGTCACCATGGTCACAAACATTGAACGTCGTAACGGGAAACGTCAGAAGCCAATGTGACATTTTTTTTTCTTTTGATCTGACACTTGTTTAGTGTAAAAGACAAAAAAAGGCTAAGGTCACTTGAGTCATTTTCATTATTATTTTATTAGAAAAATGAGGGATTGTTTTTTGACATGTTCATGTAACAAAAATTGTAATTGTACTGTGGGGCTAAAAGTGGTTTCATTAGAAGGTTGAAATTAGGGCGATTTCAGTATAATGAAAAATGGCGATTGGAAACATATTTTATAAATTAGAAAGATATCTATATCTTATTCGCAACTATCTTATACAACTAAAAAAAAAGGTAATCTTCAGATTCCCAGTTTTCCAGTTTTAGTATAAATCTGATAGCTCATAAGAAATTTGAAATAAATGTGTTTTAGCTTTCATTTCAATGATAATCGTCATATCTTTCCATAAGTCTACTATATATGTATTTCGACTTCCATTGATAACTCTCTTAATGAAGTCAAATACTGCCTTCTTAGTCAACATGCAAAAATGGTTTGTTACCATGCAGGGGATGCTT